ACCTTTGGGAGTTAAACTGCATATATTTACCAAAAATCGAATGCGCAATCAAAATCCAGCAATTTCTTTTACAAAAAAACCCCCCAAAACTAGGAGTTTAAAGCGGACTGAAGAGAACCAATGGAGTGAGCAAAAAAACCACCTGCAAGCATGGTGCAAAAATACCCGGATTCAGATAAATGATCATGAATAAGAATGGATCCATACTCAGATGTTAACAGATGGGGGACTATAACTTAGAGGACAAGAATCACCAGCACTCAGTAATATCATTCAATATCCATTTATTTGGACAAATCATCACAATGAAAGAAGCCAACATTTCGGGGCGAGAAGATGTGACCACAGGGACCCTGTGTGGCCCCTAAACGTTGGCTTCTTTTATTGTGATGATTTGTCCAAATAAATGGATATTGAATGATATTACTGAGTGCTGGTGATTCTTGTCCTCTATCTTGTGCCTGCACGGCGCCATCCGCGGTCATCACTGCGAGCACCATTATTGTACAGGCCGGGAGCGTTGTGAGGAGTGCAGAGGGACTTCCTATCTATCCAAATGGTCTATAACTGACATTTCCTGGATAAACAGTTGTGCCAGGCTCCATACTGTGCTGGTCATAGGACTAAAGATCTAGGCATTTGGTCATGTGACCAGCAATGGAGGGAGCCTGGATCCCTAGGAAAGGTATTTTAGACATTCTATTACTTTTTACCCACTCCAACAAAACTGCCGACATTATTAAAATCGAATAAAGACCCTATTAATGTATTTTCTTTACTTCGTATTTTAAAAAGTCAACAAAATTAATTACAGCCTACAAACACTGAGGGGCCTATTTATAGCAGAGAGGGGGTATCTACTATCCACTGAAACACTTTACTACAGAGAAACCCCTGTGATTGGAGGAGAGGCCAGCCACATGATTTTGACAGGTCATGTGAAGAGGCTCTTCTCTCAAATTTTCTTTTTCATTCATTTGAATTATTGGTACTCCACTTGCTTTAGAGTCTTGAAGCAAGCAGAACCTAATGCACATTTGTAAAGCACACAACTGGGCTTTAAATAAAATAAATAAATACCGGTAGTACAAAAATTGCATTTATAGGAGCTGCAGTTTGGCTATGGTAAGGTCATACTGCTGCTTTATAAACGGGGCCCTAAGTTACTAAACTTTCCTAACACTTCCCAGCTGACTTTCTAAAACTCGTGAGGACTACACTGCATTGAGATCTCCTGGCGGATAGTTCCCTATGGCATGTTGAGGCGATTTAATGCCCCATCATCTACCAAAAACCAGAATAGAAGTGGAATGACCTTTCAAAACAAAATGTTTCCCGGCCTAATAAATGTAATACAAAAAGCATACAACCTGTAGCTACTCCCGAATATCGTTATAGAAACATACAAAACATATAGAAATATAAACACCCACAATAATATACAAGCACATCATACAGAGCCTGTGAGGAGATGAGAGAAAATGGATCAAATGACTCAAGACACAATTATACTTCAAAGAACTTTGCCATGTAATATAAAATATATTGTTGAATCAACAGATGAGGACCAGGAGAAATAAATACAAAATCATGGAAAACAAGATTATTGACATCAGTTCCAGGTTTTTACCTCAGGTGAGCATAGCTATTAATTGCCTGTGCGCTGTGCGCCATTCTATGAACTGAAGCAATGTGCGCCATTCTATGAACTGAGGCAATGTGTGCCATTCTATGAACTGAGGCAATGTACGCCATTCTATGAACTGAGGCAATGTACGCATTTCTATGAACTGAAGCAATGTGCGCCATTCTAGAAACTGAAGCAATGTACGCCATTCTATGAACTGAGGCAATGTACGCATTTCTATGAACTGAAGCAATGTGCGCCATTCTAGGAACTGAAGCAATGTACGCCATTCTAGGAACTGAGGCAATGTACGCCATTCTAGGAACTGAAGAAATGTACGCCATTCTATGAACTGAAGCAATGTGCGCCATTCTATGAACTGAGGCAATGTACGCCATTCTATGAACTGAAGCAATGTACGCCATTCTATGAACTGAAGCAATGTACGCCATTCTATGAACTGAGGCAATGTGCGCCATTCTATGAACTGAGGCAATGTACGCCATTCTATGAACTGAGGCAATGTACGCCATTATATCAACTGAAGCAATGTACACCATTATATCAACTGAGGCAATGTACGCCATTATACGAACTGAGGCAATGTACGCCATTATACGGACTGTGGCAATGTACGCCATTATACGAACTGAGGCAGTGTACGCCATTATACGGACTGTGGCAATGTACGCCATTTTATGGGTGAGGCAATGTAAGCCATTTTATGGGTGAGGCAATGTAAGCCATTTTATGGGTGAGGCAATGTAAGCCATTTTATGGGTGAGGCAATGTACGCCATTTTATGGGTGAGGCAATGTACGCCATTTTATGGGTGAGGCAATGTACGCCATTTTATGGGTGAGGCAATGTACGCCATTTTATGGGTGAGGCAATGTACGCCATTTTATGGGTGAGGCAATGTACGCCATTTGAAGACCTTAGGGCTTATTCACACAAGCAGCCGTGCTCATCCACAGGGCTGCTGGTGCGTATGTGCCCGTACAGTGCCAATAGGCTTAATTGAGCTGCATCAAAACGGTTTCTTTTTTTTTTTTGTTAGAACTTTATTGAAATGTCACAAGTGACACTTCATTGAGTTCTATGGGCACATCACGGTGCAATGCAGTTGTATCACATCTCACTGCGGTGCACTTATAAAAAGTACTGCATGTTGGAATTTTTTGTTTTTTAAGCACGCACCACACCACCTGTACACAGTGGTGTTAACCGTCAGCATCCATGACAAGGCAAATTGCATTGTCTTGCATTCGGGCCGCACTGGAAAAAACAGCCAGCACGGTCCCAATGCAGATGGTGTGAACGAGCCCTGAAGCAAAGTGATATTAAAGTCAAAATGATTTTAAGCTATTTCAAACACTGATTAAATCACTTAAATGGATGCTGCTTCTTAATGTTTAAAAGTTTTAGTTTCCTGAAGAATCAGCTGGTCTCCTGAACAATGGTCCTGACTTCCTGTTTTAGGGTTACATCTTTCTCAAGCAGAGTGCTATGCAGTCACCCCTGTGTATGCTAGTAAGCTGTGTGCGTCTCCACAAACGCACAGACACAGCAAATCAAGCTACTCTCCTCCCCCCGACCCCCTCTCCTCCAAGCTAGTAGATGAACAATTGCTGGAGTCTGCTCTGTCCTTTGTGGGCTTGTAATGGACGGAAAGTTCAGGGATGCTAAGCTGAAAGATTTAGAAGAAGCTGCTCAGAAACACGATAACTGTGTTTGTGCAAAAATGTAAAGCAATGCGTTGCTGGGCCATGTATATTTGTTTGGTGTGGATTCATTATTGCACAAAGGTTGAGAGTTTAATACTACTTTAATAAAACAAGGTTTCTCTGGTTTTGACCTTAAATGTGAAGACAGAATCCATGGAATATTCTAAATGTATACAAGAGCCAGGTCAGGTATCTAATGCACACGTAGGAGGAGTGCCTAGCGCTGCTTGGTGTTCACCATTTTATAAACAGCTGGAGGAAAATGGGAGGTTTGGACCTGTCAGCAGAAAATGACACAGATGGAGTGTGGAAGGATCTGTACTGATTTTAAAGAGCTCCAGTCTCATGTTAGCAACAAAACAGAACAACTAGCAGTCCTGGGGCATCCTTTGGGGAAAAATTGTCAGTAATATCTGCTATTATCAACTACAGCCACTGAGTTTAGGCATGACAGTTGTAAATCAGATTATACTGACAGCATGCCAATGCCATCCGCAATTAAATCAGCTCATCGGTGCCCAGCGGTTGCAACATGCAATGAAAATTATTAGTGCCCCCCCAGATTTGACTGTTGTATCTTATGTGCCCCCCCTACATATTGTTCCTAGAGTCGCCACTGACTGACAGGAATGTGTAGCTCCCTAACCTTTAAAAAAAAAAAAACAATTTATTTGGCCTCAAATCACATAGACCAGAACAACAGTGCTGCCAGTGAACCCAAATTCATCTACATACAGTATAAGATCTAAGTCAGTGATTCAAAGTATTGAAGCCACTGGATTATTATGATAGACGGGAAAAAAAGAGGTTGGCGATGGAGTAGTGACCGCCCGTCATGCTATTGAATTCTAAAGAAGATCTCAAAGTTTTAACTAATGCAACTCTATCAGCGTATCGGTACCTGCCACATCCACAGTAGGCGCCCTACATCCTTAGATTGCAGTTTTATGGGACGCCAATGATCATTATGACATCATTTTGAGATATATTTTACTCTCCCAACAACCCACGACTATTCCTTCACCCTCAGCCTGCCTTTTTTTAGGGTACAGTATTCACAGTTCAGTACCTCCTAAAGCAAGCACTGAATATGCAAGTGTTATGTTCACTCTCCTAAAAGTGCCCCAAGCTGCTGCTCAACAAACTTTCCATGACAAATCATTAGTCTTCTTTACAATACCCGCACAACATTTACCATATAATATTCATCAATAATATCTAGTATAAGAATTGGTCATAAAGATGGCACATAGTGGCAGAGAACATTCTGTAACTGGGGCTGGATGTAACTATGGCAATGTCTCATGAGAGTTTCATTTGACAAGGAGGCACAGAGTAAAAGGTAATAATGTAGGCAAATAACAGAATACAAATATGTAGTTATTTTTGGAAAGAATGGAAGAAGGTAAAAAAAAAAGCAAACAATCAGATTCTAGCAACCATTTCCTAGTACTGGTAAACGATGATGGAAATACTCTAGTAAATTTCAATGGGCATTGGGAACATCTTTGTTTCCTAAATTGCTCTCAATCAGCCCCATTGTAAGTGATAAAACACGGATCGAGAGATGTGTCCTCTAGCTGGGTCCCAGGACAACACACTCTGAACAGAATTGTCCTTACGTCAAGGTGTACGTACATGTTAAAACAGTTATGGAAAATAGATCCATTAGCACTTTACTCATTCAGATGGCCTTTAAATCAGATCAGCATTGATTTAACAAGACACACTGCAGGCCCGCAGTCTAGACAGCCAAGTGACTCACTATGGGTTGTGCCGAACTCCCCATAATTACAAATAAAAACATCCGTTCTTGTAACAGACTGCACTCCCAAACTAGAATCCAGGTCAGAAGGATCCCTGTGCAAAGATAGACAGCCACCTTAGCCCTCATATCATGTTCACCTAATGCTGCCTACTGTGCAGTTTGGCTCATAGGGCAGCAAAATTGTTAGAAATCATTAAAAGTGAAAAAACACAATTGAAACTCTGGCCCCTTCCGTAAGGTCACTTATTTAGGCAACTGGAAGTTCTTGACACTGGTTCATAACAAAAGGGTTGGTAGCCCTTTTAACCTCTGTATGCCAGTTGTGCACAATTAGTTTTGGCTGAGAAGAGGTTGAAGCTGTGCCACTCCCGTAGTGGCCTATCAATCCACTTTCTTTCCTGAAAAAGGAAACAGGTCCACCAGGAACTTAAAGCGCGGAGCCCCGGGGGAGAACAAGGCGACAATTAACTTCCCATGGATCATGGTCATGATGGTCTGGTGTCCCGATGCCCATATACGATACCACGGCCCATAGAAGGGGTCAGACACAGCTGGGCACAACATGTTGTTCAGGTTTACTTCTGTCATCTAGGTAAAAACAGAAAGGAAACAAAGATTAGGTGCAGCAGGGTAGCTATTAGACTTGTGCGCCGTCAAAAAATTTGTTCCGTTTCGGAATATCCGTTATTTCGTGATTCGTATCCGAAACTCAATTCGGATTCGTACGAAATACGAATTTTCGTTAGTTTCGGCACATTTTCGTAACTTTACGAACATTCGTTATGATGAAGTTAAAAAGCAAAAATACCTTTGTTATTATTGGAGTCGATGTGGTCGTTGTTTTTTTTATCCGAAATACGAATTCCGTTAACGGATTCCGTATCCGAATTTCGTATTTCGTATAAAAAAAAACTACCATCAACTCCAATATAAATGTACTTTGCTTTTTAACTTCAATATAACGAATGTTCGTAACGGAACGAAAATACGTCAACGGAATTTCGTATTTCCTGCCTGTGTATTGTAATGCAACTGTCAGCAGCAGAAGAGAAAACCTCTGATTGGTCAACCAAAACGAAATACGAATTCCGTTAACGGATTCCGTATCCAAATTTTGTATTTCGGATAAAAAAAAACTACCATCAACTCCAATATAAATGTACTTGCTTTTTAACTTCATTATAACGAATGTTCATAACGGAACGAAATTCCGTCAACGGAATGTCATATTTCCTGCCTGTGTATTGTAATGCAACTCTCAGCAGCAGCGGATCCGTATTTCGGATTTAAAAAAAATCTTGTCATGTTGTTCAACCTCATTTACAGGGGTAATATTAGTTCCTGTTTCAAAGAAATTCGGATCCGAAATTCGTTAACGGAATTTCGTATTTCGGATATAATTCGGAAACTGCAATTCGGATTTCGGATGCTTCCGAATTTACGAATTTCAGGAAAATTCGTACGAATTTCGATTCGTAACGAAACGAATCACACATGTCTAGTAGCTATTGCATTTCCATTATTTGATCACAGGTGTCCTTCAAGTCTAAGGTTTCAAGGTTAGAGGTTGGGGGGAGGGCGAGTCTACACTTTAGGGGTTAGTGTTAAGTAAATCTGTGCTTTGCCCATACCAGGCAAAGAAACATGTTCACTTTAGTGCCCCCTTTTTGTGTGTGAAAAGCCGATGTACATGGGAGAAGTTAGGGTTAGGTCAAGTACATTGTATACTATATATGATCACTAAAATAACAATAGGCAAATGGCAGAGGTAATAGACAATTTAAAAAAATGAGTTTGACTTATTATTAATTATATTTCTACATAAAATTCATAGATAGTCCAGCAACACACTCACCAAGCCTAGTATTTGTAGGAAGCTGAAGTGGTAGAAAAACATGAGTCCAGTTGCCAGAATTGCCCACCAAAAGTTACAGAGTGGCTCTGCTGTATACACCCCTAGGATAAAATAGTAGAAAACTGTTTATATTCATAACAATATATTCTTTCACATGGCATAGCGCAAGTCTTTACCTCTACTGGACTCAGGTTGTGCATAATGCAATGCTGTGAAGTTCCCCCAACATTACATAGTATTTGAGGATGAATAAAGACACAGGTCCATCAAGTTCAACCTTTGTGTGTCTGTGTGCGCGTGCGTGTGTGTGGTCTTACTTTTTAAGAGTACCTTTACCCCTGTATATTACGATCTCTGAGGATGGTATCCAATTGATTTTAAAATTAATCAATATCCTCTGCTGATAACACTGCTTGTGGCAGAGAGTTCCAAAATGTAACCACTCTGACTGAGAAGAATCCCCTACGCCCTGTGTGGTTAAATCATTTCTCCACCAATTTTAGGTGGTGGCCTCCAGTCTTTCTACTCTCCCATCAATGATTTTAGAATAGAATCTTTTAAAACACAAAGTGAGTAGAGGAAACCACCGGGGGAAATTCCCTGTGCATAATATTAAACAGCAATCTAGGAAAACGGATATACCAATAGTCTAAAGCTGCCCATATACTTTACGAATATCGGCCGATTTTCATATGCGATTGCGTTTTCGTCCGATATTCGTAAGGTTGATGGGCAGTGTACAACCGCAAGTACAGTACAATCGATCGCAGTTTAGGTGTTTCAAGCAATAATCCGCTGACCGAGTACATTTGCTGGCTGTATTTTCTGCTTTTTCATATTCTTCTGCAATCACTTAACACCGAAGCATCTTTATTAGCTTACATTTATTAGCTTACATTTTAAAATGTAAAGTTTAAACTGAATCTTTGCAGGGGAAACCCTAAATGAAGTGTCACTTGCATCACTGCCTGCATGTCGACTGAGATCCTGCACCCAGAGATACCCAAGACTCCCTTGTCTCCTTGAGGAAGGGACCCTGTGCAGCCCGGAAACAACCCTGCGCAGTCCCAACAACATAAGTTGTATGACCTATGTGACGCTATGTGATTGCATCACTATGGAGTGCTGGCGACCCTTCTATATGTTACATCAAAACATGTCAGACTATCTTTCTATATTTATCTATTTTTATATGTTAATTAATCTTTAAGCAACAATTATATGTTTATACGTTGACTACACCCTGTCACTGGAATACCACAGCGTTAAAACTCAATTTTGTTGGAGTTGAAGAGTTGGGCCAACAAGTATTTTACTCAAAGTCTGGAAATCAGCCACCACAGCCAGGACCTTCAGAGCACATAGCATGGAAGATTTACACAGGCACTACTGATGTGGTGACGGAATGGCGCTGATCCAGTCAGTTCATCAAGGAAGCAGGTTTTTTTTTTCTTTGGTCATATTGCTATATTTCTTTATTTGGTGTATGATAAGAAGCGCCTTCGTCTGTTTTTCTAGACACTTAAAACAGACTTGACTGGCCAACCAAGTCCCCCTATTTGTCCTCCTAAATGAATTTAGAATGTGATTGGCAGGTGGGGATATATATATCCCAATCTTAGTTATAACATAGTTTGAAGTTAGGGACCACAATTTCCACATGGTCCCTTTGTGTGGCAATGTGGTTTCAAATATATGTAAAGCGCTGCGTAAATTGTCAGCGCTATATAAATAATAATAAAAAAATATGCAACCAAAATTCTGCATTTAGAAACGGTATATAGGTGGGTTTCCGGTTGTGAGAAGCTGGCTTGAGTGTTGGGGAGAACTTCACAATGTTTGGTTAAATTCTACAAACGCTATAGGTGTGGTATATGGCAAGAGAAAATGTTGTCATTCTTTTAAATGAACACTAGATGTCAGCAGTACACAGCATTTCAGCTGTATGCAGGAAAAGCAGCATAGAGCCATAGCCCTGCAAGTAAAATGGACATAGAGCTCAGGAATGTATGTCATTTTTATAAATAGGATGTGACAAGTCACACTGCTAAACATTTTCCAATAACATTTTTCAGGCAACATTATAATGTTAATAGCTGTACATATTTGTTGTGCTTTATGTCATTTATAAATATATTTGTAGATTCTCCCTCTAGTGACAACCAGTTTTTCATTTTATATACAAGACCTGATGTATTCGGATTCGTTGCTATGGGCAACAACATTTTCCTTTAACAGAAATCTTACATACTAAACCCTCAGCCTCCTTATTAACAGCTGCAGAGCTAAAAATCTCAGATGACGACAGGCACAGTACTTGTTTTATGAGTCTTAGTCATACCAGGAATAGTAAGGCTGGGTTTACCAGTAGCGTAGTGAGGGGGGCCACTTGCCCCCGGGTGCTGGGCTGAGGGGCGCTACATTAGAGCAGCTTATTTTTTCCTTTTTAAAAACAGTGACTTTGAATATGTTTGTTAAATTGAGTGAAGCTTGATCAAAGTTTGTAGAATAGGTGACCATGGAGCACACTACAGACATCATAGGCTACAGCAAGGTTAATGGTAAATAGGACTTGACACTGATATAATAGCGACAGACATGGGGTGATGCCATATCGAATTATTACAGGAACTTCCCTTTGTTGGGGGGGGGGGGGTGTGGCA